TGTTTTCCAAAAAAATTAGGAGTAGAATCACGCATAACATCGAGCAGACAGAGCCATTTGTGAGTTTATTTCACTAGCAAGAAAGCTGTTAGCATTTTGTAAATAGCCTGAAACGTTTTCTCCTTGAACTCTTTAATCGTCACCAATAGCCTTTCGTGAAAAGGCCTCTTTGTTGTAAAAAGAATGCGTACTGGTTGATTTTGGCCGTAGAACAGAGAAAAATTTACCTCTCGAAGTTCGTGATGTAGTTCGCTGTTCAAACTTGATATTGATGCGTTCTTTTCTCGTAAAAGTCGAATTTCTGCTTGTATTTCGTGTTTCTGTCGTTTCTGGCGTAAAGGACGGCTGTCGAATAAATACAAAGTATTATTTATATAAGGCCATATAATGATATAAGACCCGGTCATCCAGTGGCGGTGACAGCTACTGCAGAGTGACAATGTAATGGGCGCGGTCAGTGAGACCACGCTCTTTTCCCTCATTTCAGTGCTTTGTACCAGGTTAATTCTCCTTAGGAAATATAAACCACCCCCACCTAGCCCTTTTTAATCCGCTTTTAGAAGAAATATGTAGATCACGTTTTGAATAATTACCCCCCCCCCCTCCCCATAAACCTCCTTGGCGCTCCCACTGTGGTCATCGATTCAATATGGAATTTGAGTCCTAAACTAAAACAATAAATAAAGAATCGGGTTAACAGCATTTTCTGTTGACACCAGGTAATTTCAGTTACTTCTAGCATTATTGAGCAATGATTGGTCGAGATAAAGGCCTGCGTATAGGCCAATTTGGATCCAATCAGATTTTTTGGGTAGACTCTTGGTGAAATTTTAGTTATTGTCCGGCGAAAAACTTGAGTATATGCCAGACGGAAGAGACGCTGGTTAAGTTCGTCCGCTGGATTCTGCTACGAAAATTTGTTATGAGCAACAGGGAATAGGAGCAACACAAATGACAAGAAGCAGTCGAATATACTCTAATTTAGAAATTTAAAATCCATATATGTATTGATTAAAGGCAATCGACAGATGGAAAAATGGCTTTAGTCATTTGTCAACCAACATTAGCCAATCAAAAAGCGCATGAGTGTAATCGCACACGTTGATTGGTCACTTCTCGATTGATAGATGGCTTAAGCCCCTTTCGGTTTCTGTCGATTTCTAAAACTTCATCATGTTTCATTCAAGCTCGCTCAGACGTTGATACTATTCGCCAACATCAAGTACTGTAGCATTTTCGGAATGATACTTTAACTGCATTTCACAAAATACATACCTTAAATTTCGAGGCCGTTTTTCCAATGGCGTTGAAGATTCTTCGATTTTCGTGCTATCGATGGTTCTTTCCAAGGACTTCGACCGACCATTTCGCAACGCAGCACTCGGTTTTGGAGGCGCAGGCTATAAATAGAAATCAAACAGTTTATTGGCGGTTCAGAACTTAAAAATGGCTTTGAAAAAAGCAAACATTTTATAACATATACCGGTCTTGTGCTTGCGTTTTTCTGATTAGCCTATTTCGATCCACAACTGGGTATATATTTTTCATCGTCTTTTTTCGGACCCTCATTCTGACGTTTTCTGCTCTGAGGAGTGTCAGACGAAAAAGCTGTTAAACAAAAATATGTTCAATCAAACATCAAAGCAAAAATCAAACAATAAGTTATCAATTTTGATAAATCTTATCATAAGATGTGTAGCTTAGGAAAGACTTTTGGTTTGGTTATAAAATTGAGTTAGCTTTAAGGAGATGGGTGGCCTTCAGAAAAAATGTCCACCTTCTTTCTGTGTCCAGGTGTTGGTGTGTCTTTGATGAAACCTGAAAAGAAAAAAGATGTTACAAGGAATATACACTGACAAGGTTTCGGAACAAATCAAAGGTGTCTTTTTCTAAACGATAACAAACGCCCCTTTCCTTTAACCAGCGGCTTTAACAAAACCCAATAACTCAAACCTCCAATAAAACGACAATTATTGTAGGAGATAGCAAAATTTCGAGTGATCGGGCGTTCAAACTAATTTGAGACGTTTCAAGGACAATTTAATAACTGCTCAAGTTATTGGGGGCTCGAGAGATTTGGGACTCGATTTATGGAGGGTTCGATTTATTTTTGGGTTCGAGTGATGGGGGGGTCAAGTCATTAGGGGTTCGAGTATAGAGAGTTCGAGCTATTGGAGGCACAGGCTACGAACAGAAATCAAACAATGAGTTATTAATTATGGTAAATCTAATCACAAGATCTAATCGTTTAATCAGGTTTAATCAAAGTTTGAGTTATTAGAGGTTCGATTTGCTTGGGATTCGAGTTATAGGGGGCTCGGGTTATTGGGGCCCCGATGTTTCTTAAGTTATTTGGGGGACGAGCTTTAAGGTGTTTGAGCAAGCTATCGAGATTCTATTGTAGTTTCAAGGTGCTACGAGCATCCTTTATATCAAGACATCCTCGATGCATAAAAAAGCAACTAATAATTGAAAGAACCTGCGAATACAGAGCGACACTCTTTTGTTACCTGTTTGAGAGGATTTATACGATTACTTTGGCCAATTTTTGTCAAATATTTATAGTTTTTGGCTAGAATCTACAGGTGAATTAGCAAACAAGAGAATCCGCAATACAGCTGTTTTTATTAGGCGTGCAAGTTTTTTGACGA